TCGCAATTAAAGAAGAACTGTCACTGACATTGCCCTTTATAGAGAATATCATGGGAAATGAAAATGCTCAGAGTCTCTGAAACTAATTTCTGAATCTCTGAAACTCTCTCTTAATTTTGGGTCTCTTCTGCAAGACATTTTTCCTAAGAAATATCTAGTTCTGCTTTTTCCCCCATAACTCTATTTTTACCTTTCTTCAGTAAGTTCAAAATTTTCTTAATGTGCTTGCCTCAAGGATAACTCAGCTGTATCTCACTCACAGAGACATCACTCATTTCAGTCCTGTAGTTTAACAAACCTGTCATCCTTTAATGCTAAAAGCTATTTACATCAGAAACTATGGATCAGGAAACTAATCTCCATTCCAGGAATGACCACTGCTGTACTTTAAACTTCCTGCAAGCATGAAGATGAGTCTGTTAAACCCACGTTTTGGCTTGAGATTTTTGTCAGGTGTTGGGGCCTTGACCATCCAAACAGTACACACCTAAAGTTTACATGCTGTAGCAGCATGTGTAAATGTAGCCCTGTATTTAAAGAGAAGACCTGCACCAGGCTGCTTACTACTGCTCCTTTTTCGTAAAGGGAAAACCACTGTGGCTTAGCTTGGGGTTTTGCAGGAGCAATCAACACCAGGGTAAGGCTTCATGAATGACCGTGAAGCCTACCTGAGTAATGTGTTCAGCTCTCCAGTATTTAAAGTGGATGTACAGGAAAGATGGGGAGGGACTCTTCCTCAGGGAGTGTCATGATAGGACAAGGGGTAATGGTTTTAAACTAAAAGACGTGATTACTTTAGATTAGTTATTAGGGTGAAATTCTTTCACTCAGAGGGTGGTGAGGCACTGGCACAGGCTGCCCAGAGAAGCTGTGGATGCCCCATCCCTGGAGGTGTTCAAGGCCAGGCTGGATGGGGCTTCGGGCAATCTGGTCTGGTGGGAGGTGTCCCTGCCCATGGCAGGGAGTTGGAACTGGATGAGCTTTAAGGTCCCTTCCAACCCCAACCATTCTGTGATTCTATGATGTTGTCAGATTTTCACTGCTTTTGCTCAGGAGTCTGCTAAGGTTATAGCTTTAGAAGCAGCCAGGTAAACCTATTTTAAACCAGTACAATTCTGAGGTATAAATAAGACCTAAAAGAAAAAAAAATCTCAATTGATTATGTTATTTCTGAGTCTTCAGTCAGGCAGCAGTTATTTCCTTTATGTAGTAGATGTGGTCCGCTGCAGAACTGCAAATTGGCAGAAAAGGTTTTTGCAACACTAAGACTGAAGGAGGCCATACTCTGACCCATTCTGTACCCTTACAAACAGATCACCAGTTACAACTTCTGGAGTCAATTGGATATTGAAAATAATCTGGGTGCTCATCTAGAAAGAAAAGAGTGTACAAAGGCATGCTTTGGAAACTTTGGAAAGTTGAAGTCAGACTTAGAACTTCTGAAGCCCTGATTCATGGTTCCTGAATGTGTGGGATTGCTGATGTGGTAAAAGATTTGACCCTTGAAGCATGAAAGGCAGGTCACATCCTGGGGGACTCTGTGATGAGGCATGTCTTGCTTGTTCAGCCTGCTGGAAGCCCAGAAGCTCTACATTCCCAATGTGTGTGTGTGTGTGTGTGTGTGTGTGGAACAGGGGCAAGTCCCTATTTTGTTAGTCCTTTTTTTGGCACCGTGATGTCTACTACATCTACTAGAGCATCCGTTTCTACCTCACTCTTCCTCACCGCCCATCTTTTGTGTAGACCTTGCAGCAATATGCTGTTACTTTCTCCTTGACCTGGGACCCAGCTGCAAATGCCAACAAACTCTTCTACTCTCTTGTTAATCTCCAGACTGTTCCCAAGCAGTATTCATCAGAGAAGGACCTTATTTCCAGGGGCGGTGAAGTGACTAACCCAAGATCAAACAGCAGGGCAGTAGCAGAGGCAGGAACTGAAATCTAGCCTTCTGACTCAAGTTTCTCTTGACCACAGCCTCCGGGTTACATGGCTGAACTCATCAGTGCTGTAAGTTTCAGCAGTTGCTAAGACAAAACATAATTTTCTTTCCCAGCGATATTGTATCTGTGTCATACTGTTCTCTGCCTACTCGGAAGCAGCTCCTCAGCATTTGACTTTAAAAAGGGAAGGCAAGCAGGAGATGTGTCTAAGTGGTTGCACTCTTTTGATCGATGAGAGAGGTGAGCCAGAGTGTGTTCCAGTGACCTCCTGCTATATAAAAGCTTGGCCTGCCTGACAGGACTTCTGGCTGCAGAGTAGCTGTGAGTCACAGCCTTTACTGCTTGGATTTGATGCGGATTTTTACATCAGACGCTGCGGAAACGAGGTGGCCTCTCAAATATTTGCATTGCTTGGCAAGCTAGGGTAAACGGGGGTGGATTCAGGAAGTTCTGGCAAGGGCAAGCACAGCTGGTGTTAAGGTCTTTGCAGGGCTCCTTTGTGTGTGTGCATGTGTGTGTGTGTGTTTGTAGGAAAATAGTGAGGCCCCTTGATTTTTTTCCAGCCAGGGTTCCTGGGAAGGGATGAGTAATCTGGAGATTTCCTGTGACTTCTGGAGTAAAAGAAAAAAAAACAAAAAACAAAAAACAAAAAACAACACATCACCTTTTGGGGGAATCTTCTTGGATCTTCCACCATCTCAGGAAACCCCTGAGCAGCCTAGAAAGGCTCTCCCCTGGAACCAGCCCTGCTCCATTTATTTCTGTTCATTTGCCAGTGGACGCTGCTGAAGACCCATGTAAGACATGCCATGTCAATACCGCTCTTTGTCCTCGTCCACCTGGGAAGCTCAGGGTCTGAGCTCCTGGTACCGTGCTGGGGGCTTCAGGAGCTAAACTGAGGGCAGGAGGCGAGTGGGCATGGTGTGCCTGGATGGGGTTGCTGGGAGCACTCCCCTTTCACTTCTAAGAGCATCAGCTCTCAGAGGGAGGCTGTGAGGTGTTTTGTATAGCACCTAGCACAGCTGAGTTCTGGTTCATGACTAGTCAGCTGGGTGCTGCTGCAGTTCAACTGAATAAATATCAATGACAAGAGAGATGTGGGGGTTTCCTGTTGGCTGAGGAAGAAAGGAGTGAGGTACCTCAACTCTGCACTTACTAGTATTTGTTATTTGACCTGCAATGCTGCCTTCAGGGACAAAGGCTCTGTTGTGCAAGGCACATGCACACAGCAAAGGCAGAGCCATTCCTCACCCTAAAAACAGGCATTCTCCAAATGAGCTGAGCTGCTGGAGCTCTCTGAGAGCAGGCATGCTGACAGTGTACAGGGGCTGGAGGGTGAAGCAGTGGGTGTTGCTGCAACAGGGAGCCCTGCATAGATGGTTCAGACATTAGGTGTATGTCTGAAGTACCCACTTGTTATTTCTAGACGCTCATCACCACTAGCCACAAACTTCTGTAACTAGTATTTCTCGATGTGTGCTTAGCCATTTGGTTTTCTGAGTGCTTTACAAATATTATGTAATTAGGAAAATAACGCTCTGTTTGCACAGGCAATTGCACAACCACATGTTCAAAATTCATCTTTTGGAAATGTAGCCCTAACTGAAATTTACTTATCTGCTTCTTACTCTGCCAGCTACTCTTGCCAAAATGATTTTTAATCCCCCCAGCCCCATAAATGACTGTAGTGATGATAATAAAAGGAATACAGCTTGGGCAGATAAACTGCTCACCTCTGCAGTGTAAAATAAGTGGAAAGTAAGGGGCTGATAGGGAATACGCATTTTGGATTCTGGTGCCAGTGTGTTTTCTAAATATTTAGTATAGGAGAACGGGTGTGAAACAGCCACATCCTCCAGTGCCTGATCTCCACATGCTGATAGAACTGCGGGCTAATAAGCAGTTCACGTAGCAGCTTTGCTTTCTGGCAAGGCTCAGTGCTGTGGCAGTCTGGGGCCAGGGAAGGATTTATCCTTATGACTTCCTGTACAAGGTGCGAGCCCTTGGCACAAGACTTAGTGCCCTACCCAAATCCAGGGATTCTTTTTTTTTTTTTCCCCCCCCCCCCCCAAAGGTTAAGTGGTTCCCACGGGGTGCAAGAAAGTGTTATTGAAAGCAGCAAGTCCACTTTTGAATATTGCACTTCTGGTAAATCTCTGATCCAGCATCTAGTGGTTAACCACTGATACAGGAAATGACATTTAACGTTTTATCACTCAGCCAGAAATGGAAGAACAAGGCAAGTCTGTATGTGGTGAAGATGGATCATTGCCTGCTACCTTCCCCTTAAAGGCACATCATTCCTTTTAAAAGGAAATGTTTTTCAAGCAGACTGAAAACCTGGAAAACAAATCCCCTCCCCCCCACCCCCCCCCCCCCCGCCAACCCAGCCAGGAGGTTTTGACTGTTAAAACAGGGGTGATGGAGTTCTAACCAAATGCAGTCTTCTTTCCTGCTTTTCTTCTGTGTCTTGGGAAGTGCAGCACAGGCCGGCAGCAGTGGGCAGGGGAGATGGGGCTTTCAGCAGGTGGCACTCGCTGCTCTGCATCGGGCTCAGCTGGTCCTTGGCATGGGGTGCTGTGTGCGGCCTTGGGTGGGGGCTGCTGCCAGCAAACACGCTCAAGAGATGAAGGGAAAAAAAAGAAATCAACAAAAAATATTCATCAGAATACAGGGCCGGAACTTCAGCGCCGGTATGAATTGTGGTTTATTGATTTCAGTGTAACTGCATTGGTTTACAGCAACGAGCACCTGCCCGCTGTCAGCGCAGGCTAACCACAGCGACGGTGCTTGCTGTCTGACCTGTTCAGCCTTACTCTGCTGACAAGGAATATACTCAGGAAGAGAGCAAGCAAGACCCAGAATTAAATTATATTATATGTCCCAATCCAACCAGATCCGAAGAGGCTGCCAAGTCTGCCTATGCATATCCTAACAATTTCAGATGTTTTCATTGTATGTACTGAGGGAAAAAAAAAAAAAAAAAAAGAGCAAAGCAGTGAGGCACTTTCCTGCTGCAAATAGGATGTGGACAAATGCATTTTTTTTTAACTGTTCCAGGGGCTCTTCTCACCTAACAAGACAGTGCAGGATGTTTCCAAAGAGCTTTGCAGACTGCTAAAACTTCCCTGAAAGTGAGTACAGAAATCCACTGGAAAGCAGCATATTAAAGGTAGGCCAGTCCTCCTGATCTGTGGAGCTGCATAACACAGTTTTCTTGTGTCCTCAAGCCACAGGAAGCTTCAGAAAGGCTGTGGATGGTGGAGGCAGCAGAAGCCTCCATGAGAAGTTCAAAGGCTACGGATGAGGGCAGCTCTCCAGAAGTCCTGCTGCTCTCTGGCTTGGCTGGAATTGAAGCTGGAAGATGGGGCGAGCACTTGGATGCCATAAAGCTGGCTTGGTCACACCCACAGTGATGATCTTGGACCCCATTAGCCAAAACCTACTAGTGAAGCCCTCCTGTAGTTTAAGCACCAGCTTCCTGAATCTACTTGAGAGCCATCCTTGCAAAATCATGAGTAGATTGGGCAGAGGAAATCAAAATATCTGTGACCTAGAGACAAGCTCAGATTTGTGTTCATATGTAAGTCTGATGTGTACTGGCATGAATCTGAAATGGAGAGCAAGGATCTGCAGTAAAATGATCAGTGGGCATTATTAAAAAGGAGGAAAAGGGTGAAGTGTCTTTCCAGCTGTCAGCACACTTGTTGTTCAGTTAGATTGTCGCTTCTTCAGCCTGCTGCTAATTTTCCTTTTCAGTAACAGAAACTTGCTTGAATGCAGAATGTAAAATGAGAAAGCTGTGGGAACTGCTTGGAGAGTACAGATGAGGCCCTGTAGGAACACATGTGCATCAGCCACAAAGAGCGAAGATGCACGTGCATTTAAGGATCCGGATTCTTAGCCCTTAATGCTGCATGTCTTTGATAGCATTATGATGTATTTTGCACACCAGAAAGACCATCCTGTGTATAAAAATCTCTTCTCTCCAGCCTTGCAAAGCAGTTGGGCACTGGTCCTGCCAGAAAGTCTGTAGAGACTTGAGCAGACCTTTGGCCTCTCTGAATGTTTGCCAGCCAACAGCAACTGGCATGATCAGTGCCTCAAGCTACACCTTGGGAAGTGCTGCTATTTATCTCTGCACTTGATTGCACCCAATTACTTGCTAAGAACACGTTCTTTGAAAAAAGATCTGGAGCTGGATTCTTCTCTCATTGCGACTCTGCCAGCTGCCGTCCCCAAAGCTATTTTTAATCAGACAAGCTTCTCTGTCCCTGCCAAAAAAACTCGTAACAATTAATAACAATAAAATGAAGGTAGCCTGGATAAATGAGTTGCACTTGCTCTATAAATCAGCAGCAAAGGCAGCTAGGGAAGATCAGCGCTGCATCGCTAATTCGCTGTCTTCCCTTTCGCTGTAGCCTGGGTCTTCCGGTTCACTCTCGGTCCCTCCGCTTTGCAGTGCCACCAGTCCCCATGCTGCCTGTGGCAGGTAGGCCAGCAGATGGGCACGGGCACCTCGGCACAGCGTGTTGCTTTGATCCATCTCATTGCGGATGTGAGATGGGTGTGAATTATCCCGCTTACGTGCCCGTCACATTGCACTGCTAAGTTCATTAATTCTGGGAGCTGCAATACTACAAAGAGCTGTGCCCACAGCAGGCTTGGTGGTTAGGTTAAGTCTCTGCACTGTCATGTCACAGTCTCTGGTGTGATTATTTGCCTGCAGGCATGTGTGTCCCTGTGCTGTGATCCTGTCAGGAGATAAGCTGTGTTGGGCTGGATCAGAGCATGGACAGGAGGCCTCCAAGGACACGTGGCCAAAGCCATTTCAGGCAGCAATCCCATTAAACAGAAGGTGGTGTTATGCCCTCTACCTGGGCACAAACTGCTGTTGCCCACAAGTGGTAAGAAAGCATTCCCCGATAATTTTATTGGAAAAAAAAAAAAAAAAAAGGCAGGGCAGGGCAGGGCAGGGCAGGGCAGGGCAGGGCAGGGCAGGGCAGGGCAGGGCAGGGCAGGGAAGGGAAGGGAAGGGAAGGGAAGGGAAGGGAAGGGAAGGGAAGGGAAGGGAAGGGAAGGGAAGGGAAGGGAAGGGAGGGAAGGGAAGGGAAGGGAAGGAAGGAGGGGAAAGGAGGGGAAAGGAGGGGAAAGGAGGGGAAAGGAGGGGAAAGGAGGGGAAAGGAGGGGAAAGGAGGGGAGGAAGAAAAAGAGAGAGAGAAGAGAAGAGAAGAGAAGAGAAGAAAGAAAGAGAAGAGAAGAGAAGAGAAGAGAAGAGAAAGAAGAGAAGAGAAGAGAAGAGAAGAGAAGAGAAGAGAAGAGAAGAGAAGAGAAGAAGAAGAGAAGAGAAAGAGAAAGAGAAGAGAAGAGAAGAGAAGAGAAGAGAAGAGAGAGAAAAAAGAAAAGAAAAGAAAGAAAGAAAAAAAGAAAAGAAAAGAAAAGAAAAGAAAAAGAAAAGAAAGAAAAGAAAGAAAAGAAAGAAAAGAAAAGAAAAGAAAAAGAAAAGAAAAGAAAAGAAAAGAAAAGAAAAGAAAAGAAAAGAAAGGAAAGGAAGGAAAGGAAAGGAAAGGAAAGGAAAGGAAAGGAAGGAACACTTCCCTTCCCTTCCCTTCCCTTCCCTTCCCCTCCCTCCCTCCCCCCTTCCCTTCCCTCACTCCCCTTCCTTCCCTTCCCTCCCTCCCTTCCCTTCCCTCCCTTCCTCCCCTCCCCCCCCCCTCCCCCCCCCTCCCTCCCCCTCCCCTCCCCTCCCTCCCCTCCCTCCCTCCCCCTCCCCCCTCCCCTCCCTCCCCCCCCCCTAAAGAAAAGAAAGAAGAAAAGAAGGAAAAGAGGCATGGGTCTGAGGATACTGTCCTGGCCACATCCCAGGCTGGGTGTCTGCACGTGGTTTGCTTCCGCATTGATTTCTTCTGGGGATTCCTGCTGGACAACATATTTCTCCTCATCTAGCTCCAGACTGTTTGATAGCATTGCTGTTTGGTTTTTATGCCTTATGCCAGTGCTGGAGGCCTTCCACTAATGTGTATCTGCACCATTTTAAAGGTTTTGTGAGGACAAACAAATAGCAAATAGAAAAAGAAAAGGAAAAGATAGGAAAGAAGGAACTGAGTTTCCTTCTTACAGTTTCACCACCTCCAGCACAACAAACTGAGTCTCTTGGGAGTGTGTGGATGCTCCACAGTCAGCAAGGATGAGTTACCCATGGAGTGACATCGTTGCCATGTGATGCATATTTCCTTGGGGAAAATCAAACCAAAAGTGGTAACATTTCTGAACTTGCTGATGGTGGTGGCCAGGAGAGCCTCACACAAGAAGCAAGCGAGTGTAAAGCCAGTTTGAGTATATGTGGGCATTTGAAAATGGCACAATAGTCATACAAAGCATGTGCCTTACTCTGTGCCTGTGCATAATCTCACCTTAAATGTACCACTTGTTTGCATGAAATAAAGTAACACATAGATGGTTGTCAGGCTGAGATCAGCTCCTGACATCAAGTGTCAGATTCACACTGTCCCCATTCAGAGTAGCCCCAGTTGGTCGTCTCAGCCACGCAGTCAAGGCCAGCCTGCAGCACTGACACCGAGACCGGGCTGTGGCAACAGGCTGGCATGGGACGTGAGTAGTCACATCACACAGGGTTTGGAGACGAATTCAAGCTGGCTTGACATGTTCTGAAGGCAACACCCATTTTTTATTCCATAACTTTGTATTGTAAATTTATGGAAATGAGCTCCATCAACTCGAGCATCCTTATGCTGTTGTAACGGCAGCTTTGGTGGGGATGGCAGTGATTTGCCCATGCAAAACAGAATACGCAGCACTTTAATGAAATCTGTAGATGTTGACTGCTGTCACTTGAAGTCAGGATGCATTCATTTAAACAGTTTGTGGGCCTTTGTGTTTTGTAAGCAAGCAGAGAGGTAGAGGAAGACTGTAGCTAGATCCTGTGTATTGAGTGTAGTCATTGCAAGTGTTTGGGTGTTCTGATGCCTGTGTGGTTTGTGTATGCGTACTGTTTAATTTAAGATTATTCATTTATTTATTTTACAGAAAGTAAAAGACACAACAATGCTACACTGGGAAAGGTGAACACCCTTACAGACAGGATAGTGATACGAAGTAAAGAGAGATTAAAGAATGGGTGGAAAACAACAATACAAGTTCCAACTTGGAAAAATGCAAACTGGAGAAAAACAACATGAAACTCAAATATGCAACAGGAATAAATAGCATTTAAGAGATCTAGGCGTGATAATGGCTAGATGATTGGAAGTGATATTTCTAAAGCTGAAGAAGTGGGCGACACATGGGAAGGCACCCTCTTATATGTGGGAAGGCAGAGCGTGTGGCAGATTGCCCCGAGCCCTGAGTTTTAGGCAGACAGAGGTGTACAGGAGTAGATTCAAGAAAGCAACCCCCTAAAAGGGGGAGGTTGTTTGTGAATAAGTTAGCCTGTAATTTTTCTGCATAAAGTAGTCAAATGATGAAAAGAAGGGAATCTGGTAACTGTCGCCAGTGTTAGAAAAACGTAAATGCTTAATAGGATTTACTTAAGACTGTATGCAGGGGGATAATAAGGAGTAATGGTAGTGCACTGAGAAAGGGAACATTTAACTGAATATCAAAGATCTCCTTGATGGAGAGATGTGCAATGCCTTGCAAGGAAGTGGTGGAAACTTCATCCCTTGGGGACAACTAACACTTGACCACACAAAGCACTAGGAAGTTTATTAGAGGAAATGACTGCACTGGATAGGCGGGGGAAGTATGATACAAAAGATCACTTTCAATTTATCTGAATGTATGATATGAATGGAAAAAATATGTACCAGGATGTTTGTGATTTCCACATTCAACAGTTTCAAGCTGCCTTCCATTTATAGTGATGATAGACTAATTTATTCCCAGGTTGTTCTTTTTCCATTCCACCAACTTTACCTTTCCTAATTCATGCTCTGGAGTCACAGCCTTAAAGCGCAGAGGGAATGGGAGTTTTTTTCTTGGAATAAGTAACTATTTTGATGGAAAATTCTAGCTTCCTGCCTGGATAATGTCAAAAACAAAACAAAACAAACAAACAAAACAAACAAACAGCAACAACAACCAAACAGAGCAGAAGGTCATCCTCTTGAATTTGTAGGTTTCACTTGAGTGGGGTGCTCCTTCTTCACTGCCTTGGGAGGAAACTCAGTATTCTCCATGGAGGTACATGGCTTTTATAAGTGCCATCATGGGTATGTGTACCATTTGCATGAATTTCCATTGTTATTTAACTGGAATTCTTAAAAGTACTGGTGTCCAAACAAAGGGGCAACACAATGATACACACTAACCAAAAATGTTCACAGCCACCATGTTTTTAAAAACATGAACCAGTGCTTCCCTGTCCCATTGGGCTCTCCAGGCTGATGGAGCTACAGCAAGCAAAGCATTCCTGTGGGCTCAGAGGACTTTCCTTGCTGCCTAGATATTCTGAGATCAGGCAGTCAAATTATAGTTTCAGAGCAAGAGGAACTAATGAGAGAGAGGGGAAAACAGATATAAATGTATGTATGTGCTGGAAACTCAGCCCCACTGCTGAGTAGCTCCTTGAGTGGTGTCCCATTGCTGCAGGTCTGGTTTAACCCTGTGCTCATTAGCCTTGACAGGTTCTCTTGACAGTGTGCCCTCTCTATAATCTAAAGCTGTGCTTGGAAGATAAGGGCTTTGTGTACTGGTTATAAACAGTGAGGCTGGAGTGGAAATTCACAGGGCTGGAAGTCAAAGAGCAGATTTGCTGCTACATTGAGAAAGCCTCATAAAGGGTGAGGTCTCCCTCTCTCCGTGCATTCAGATCAGTTTTTCCTCCAATTTCTTGCTGGGTGCCCACCTCTGCAAGACCTTGTGCTGAATGTGTTTTGTTGTTTTATTCTGGAGTCACTTCAGCTGCATCATCCTCTGCAAAATGCTTTGTACCTTTGACAAAGAAAGGTGCTTGTATGCCATTGCTGAAAGGGAGGAAAGATAGTAGGTGGGGAAGAAAAACACTTACTTTATGAAACCTTTAAGAATCCTTTTATATATATATATATATATATATTTTTTTTTTTTTTTTTTTTTTCTCAGAGGAAATACTGGTTGTCTTTTGAAATGTCCATATTTTCCATGATCTTTGTCTTCTTGCATCTCTTGGCTCTTAATTAATTTGGAAAATTCCAATGCTTATTCATTAGTGAAACATTCATAGCCCTCCCAGCACCCTTCTTGTTCTCTGTATTGTCAGATCTTGGGGGAAATCTGTACTTGGGGCGGGTTCTTATTCATTCATTCATTCAAAAAAAAAAAAAAGGAGAAAAAAAAAGAAAGAAAAGAAAGAAAATTAAAAAAAAGAAGAAAAAAAAAAAAAAGAAAAAGAAAAAGAAAAAAGAAAAACCTAACATTTCCTGAGGAAACTCTTCTGCATGGGTGAGATGACAAGAACTGCAAGTGGTTTTCAGTGAAGCATAGGGGTTGGTTTGGGCCAGTTCAAAAAAAAAAAAAAAATATATATATATATATATATATTTTATATATATATTATATTGTTTATATATATATATATTGGGCTTGACAAGTGAATATTATCTAACAGTTATGGAAATCATCTAAAGAAATTACAATGAGAATAAAGGCGTAAACTCTGAAAGGGGGTATAGCTTTTGAGCTCCCTACCCCTTTGTCCTCAAGCCTTGTTATTGTCCCAGATTAATATTCTTTTTCACTCACCCAAATCCTTGGTGGTTTCAGTGGGCTTTTCAAGACAAACAACGTGAAAAAAATGTAAACCTAGAGAATAGGTTCCTGAGCAGTATCCTGTCTAGAGCAATATTTTCTAGCCCTGAAGCAGATGCAGTGTCTTATGCTGTTCAGCTCTGTCCTTCATGAACACAAACCATTTCAGGAGCAGCTGTAGCCCAGGATC